TGAAAAAGGATCTTTTTATGCCCAGCAGCTTGATACATTTGAGGCAGGAACTGTAGGAAAGCTGTTGCTCTTTCAGAAGCACTTCAAGCAGCTCACAAAAGTACACACACGCAGCAGAGAAAAAGAGAAACCAGAACCTCAACATAGACTTATTTTTCCATCCTGCTGCTTTATTGGGTTTTTACGCTAAGAGTTTACATACTTAAAAAAAATAAATCATGCAAAGGATCACAACATATATTCCTCCCATAGGTAAAAAATAGGAAAGAGCACTGTCTGCTACTCAGTGGCCTCAGCTTTATCAACGCAGGGCTTCATGTTTATGGACCACCTGGGTCCTAGTTTGACATCCTCTCACACTCCACAAGATCTGCCTGTTTACATAATTCAGGCAACTTTGCCACAGGCACACACAGTTGGATCACTAAACCTAGGCAGCCCCTGAATGATCTGACAGACTGGATGGCATGAACAGTTCTCGTTACAGAATTTGCCTCTCTTGCTGCACACTTCAAGTCTGTATGAGCCACCAACATGAAACATGATGCTCAATCTAGACTGTCTGAAAATATGCAGGATTATTAAGAACTTTCTTCATCATTTAGATGGTGACAGCCTAGCACTAAAGCAGAAACTGCAATTAAGTACTGCAATTCAGATATGAAGAATTTAAGTATTTATTGTCAGTCAGCTGAGAAATATTTCTAGCCATTCACGCACTCATTTCAGCAGGATTTCTTAAGAATGGGCTTGGAATGACAAAAATCACAAAAACTAGACTAAGAATTTCCTATTTGTGCTAACATACCTGCTTGCTTCTTATTGCTTTTTGCAGAATTAGACAGCAACATGAGTCTTAATCCGAAGAATATTCCAATGAACACGCCAATAAAAGCAGCGTAAGAAAATTTATGCTACCACTATTTGCTTTCCAAGCATCACAATTAGGCTGTGTCATTAAAGGGCCTGCACAGACACATGGATGAAAATAATTGAAAATATGATTAAAAAATGTAACTGCACCTATCTTCACATGAGGACCTATTCTTTTGCATCTGTGGGACAGAAACAGAAACACAATATAGATCAATGAAAGCTGGGACAGTCTTTAGGAAATTTTGCCATTTGAATTAATTTGGGCCCCAAAAGCTTGTGAACAGCAGTCTTACACCACTTTTTGAAGAGAAACATTTCTCTGCTACCCTTCTTTAACATATATCTGAAAAAAAACCCAAAGAAAATATAACCCTCCATTCTGACAAGAGACAAATTCAATGTTCCCACAGATGAACAATAAACAGCATGTTGTGTGTGAACTACTCACCTGAGCATCATGTAATTGCCCAAAATTACATTACTTAAATTCCTTATGCTTAATATGGAGATCTAGCTTAATGAAGGCAGAAGAACTACAAAACATTAGGTATAAATCTCCACATTTCGTTGTATTTATTCCCCTCAGTCATTGGTCTCTGTCCCTAGTGTACTGACACTACTGCTCTAGGTTACACTGAGCTGCAGACGTACCCATTTTAAAACGCCGTGCACTTCAGAGACCCTGTTTAAAACACAGACATGCAGGAACTGCACTGCCAACCTGAAGAACACTAAACTGCAACAAGGGAGCAGAAAAATGTAGCACTGCAAACTATCTCTACTATCACAGAGACTGTAATATTCATCTTCTCAGCAAAGATTTTACACTCACTTCATGTTGGCATTGACCAATGCTGCTTCCACTTCAGTGGAGGCTCCTGAGAAACTTGTTATAGTAATGGGAAAGGAAAAAAGAAAAAACAACCCCCTCTGGTAATTCCAGCTTTCAAGCTAGCTTTAAACAAGTATCTCAGCTTCCTGATAGAGATCTAAAAATTGGAACTGTGGTGCATTTTCCAGATCTTACACAATAAACTCCCTCCACATCCACAAAATGCAGGAGGAGCCCAGAAGTTACGCTCTCTTGGGGCATCCTAAAACTTCTGAATCATGCCCTTTAAGTTTCAAGACTTCCTGCTGGCTTTTCTAGAAGCATTTTTTTTAAGAGCTAAATCACAACAAAGGAATTATAGTGCGTGTACCAAGATTAATCAGTCAGGATATAGAGATAAGCAGGCACCAGCTTGAAGCTTCCAGCTTAAATAAGTTGTTGACGACCCACACTTCAGGAGGCAGCTTCCATGCATTACTTTCCTCTTGCTTCTCCACCACTGGGACCAGTGCAGACAGGTATTTATAAAGTTTTCTAAGGGCAAGTATTTCTATTTCTCTTCCCACAGAAGCTGATAAAGTTGATTTAAAATCAAACAAGCTACTGCCACCCTTGGCTGCCTACAGTAGGGTTTTCCTCATCACTGCCAAAGCAGGGGTGCACATTAACGAGAGGGAGGAAGTGGCAGATTTCTCAAGGAACTCTACTCACCAGGGCTTGGATCTGGACTCCAGCAGCCGTGCAAGGGTGACAGCAGCCCAGCAGAGCCAGACACCACAACTCAGCTCTCTGAAGAGAGGAGCTGGTCTGCTCCTACACTGCCATCAAATTGTACGGGCAACCAGCACTCCAAGTTCCCTGATCAACTGCTAAAGTATCTGGTGCGGCACTATAACCTAGATCAGACCTTCCCAAAGAGTAGCATACCATACCCTGAAGTAATTGTATGCTATTCTTGATATAAGATACATCTCTCTAGCTTCCAAATCCATCCAGGCAGAGGCTTTCATCCAGCCAGCAGGCATTTACACCTCCTGCCAACAGAACATACACTTCCAGATCAGAATGTGAAAAGAAAAGGAGGACTAAACTGATGAATGACGGGAAAAACTACGGAGCTGAGATCAAAGGTAGATGATGTTGTGCAGTTGAGATAAAAGTTTAGGATAAGAACATGAAAAAAATGCATAACTTGGGTATTACTGCAGATGTGACCTATGCAAATTATGAAGTTAAAGAAAGTATTTTTAAATTAATGCTATCTATCTGTAAATCTACACATGCACTTACCATTAATTCCACCTAGTTTGGGGGTCTTAAAACCTCCAGGTACTGGATGTTCTCGGCTTATGTCATTGCATGTAGGCAATTAGTTCAGAGTCCAAACTGAAAACACCCTACTTAACTTTTTCGGGTTTTGGTTTAGCTTTTTTCCTTAAACAAGAAGAGGACTAATACTCAAAACGTATCACGTTTTTTCAGATCACTTAAAGAAATACTCCAAAATAAAAAGATATATAGTCAGCTAACAAAATGCCACTGAATCAACTACTGAGACAAAAACAAAGACTTATTTTATTCTAGTTGCACAATACAGATTTATTAAAAAAAAACCCCAAGACATCACAAACTATTACTATTTGATGAGCAGGAACTAAAATGCTCCGCCAAGTTTTCACTTTGACACCCTACACAATCTCAAAGAAATCAGAGATTTTGGTCCAAAGCACTACCTGACATCCACCAAGCACGACATGCTAAGGGCAATGCCCTGGCCTTCTCCCTACAACTATGCAATGTGAAGAGATCAGAAAGCTGCTCTAAGCATGCTTAGGTTTAAAGCTTCCATTATTCCTCTACCTCTTCCATTCTAAAATAAATCCCCCCTTACATCATATTGCATGCTTCCCCAGTACTAATTGCCTTCAACACATAATGCAGTCCAGAAATAACTCAGATGGAAGAACAATGTAAGAACTTTATACGCCTTTCTCAGTAAGAAGTTAAACAATACCACATGATTACATTAATTTAAACACATCTTCCTTTCTCCATTCTTCATCTAATGCATCTGTGATGCCTGTAGTGATGACAGCATCAATTTCAAGACTCCAGGAACATTCCAGTTCCTTCAAAACATTTCAAATGAATGATTTTGCTACCAAAACAGGACACAAATTACAAACATTACCAGCAAAGCTAGCTGTGCATGAAATCTTGCTGAAAAAATGAGAAAGCTGAGGAGACAATAAAACCCTCATCCAATACCCTTTAGAAGTATTTCTGAAACTAACAGTAAGTACCAAATTGTACAAAATAAATTTTAAAATTGCTGATTTTCCTTAAATATGCTTCAACTCTCTATGTTTAAGATCAGAAATATTTTTATACAGAGGTCGTGCCAACGAGATTATCTATGGCACTTTCTCTATTGTCCTTATGCTTCTAATCTCATGAAAGCTGTGGCCTTCGGATGCTAAAACCCACACCACTGATTGTCGGTGCTAAAATCTGTACCTCTGCTATCATTCACTGCTTGCAGAAGTTTAACTTCTGGCCACTTGACTGTAAGGGAAAGCAGTCGAGCATACCAAGCACCAAGCAGAGGACTCACAGCAGTGAAAAGGTTGCTGATAGTCCTTAACTTTCATTTGGTTTAAATATCACCAGGTACAGATAGAGCTTTTTGGAAGGCTGTGTGTTTAGAATAAAGAATCACATGTCTATTAAACCACTAGAATACATCACGTTTAGAAATCAGATAGTGAAGGGAAGTAACTCGCCTTCAACCCAAAGTGCCCTGGGCTCAGTATTTGTTACCTTCTTGCCTGGCCTGAGGACTTTCTGATTTACTCAAATCCAGCCTTCCACTTGGTAGGTGCAGCGACCAAGAACAAAGCCCAAAGGCTTCTGTTCCTTCCAGCAGCTTAATTACTAATCACTGCAGAAGAGTCTATGCTAAGAAAAAAAATAGAGGACAAGCTTTTCCCTTGTTTCCACAGCTCATTGTTTGAAAAATCTAGTCTGCAACCTGGAAACAGTACCACAACATCAAATCAGGATTTTTAGCTTCCTGTTTTGCTCTAATCGAAATAATCATAACAACCGTGACTCACCAATTTTCAAGTTAAACTATATCCCTTTATCATAAACCATCTGTTTAATCTTTAGTCCTGGAAATTTTTATGTGCTCCAATAAAAATAAATTAAAATAATCAAAAACACTGCTATCAAACACATGGAAAATGAGATAACGTTCAGGAAAATAGTCTGAATTTATGCACAGGCTCACCTTAAATCTTTTATCCTGCAGGACTTTCTTAATGGCCACAAGCTCTCCTGAATCACAGAGTTTGGCTTGATACACAACACCAAAAGATCCATTTCCAATCACCTTGGTGTCTGTGTAGCTAACTTCCTGTGGTCGGTCTGGACCTTGTCCAGGAGTTGCCACTACTGTAGTCACTTTGCTGCCATCTTTGTCTCCTGGAAAACAAGAGATACACAAATAATCAAAATACATACATAAACAAGATGACCAACAGGACTGAAACAGAAGAGGGTAAGGCAAAGACTTAAATCGGCATGCGTATTTCAATATTACAGAGAAAAAGAAAACCCCCTGACAAAATGCAAAGAAAACACCGAGCGTATATTTTACTGAAATATACAAAGTGGAGACAGTTTTTCATCTTGATTATTTCTAACAAAAATATTCCCTTTCCAGGAGCAAATAGTTCAGAAATAAAATATGAAGCATGACGAAGACAAGTACTTATTTCTACATCTTCTTAATTAACAGTGTTGTTAGTGTTACCAAAATGAAGCATTTCCCACTATTTTCCTGTGATGGAAGAAACCAAACTGTCAGTATAGCCTGTCCCTTATAGGCATGTCTCTGGCAACAAAAACCGAGGCTGCATTGTACAGCGCAGCCCTGCTCCTCCCTTCTTCCATGCTCTGACTTCCTTGCAAAGAAGGGAGGCCCACACTGGGGCAGGGGAGGAAGAGGGAGAAGGACGAGGACAGCACGCACTTAGCTCGCGTCTCAACATGAACCACGGCACAGACAGAGACGTGCACTCGGGATGCAAGATGGCAGTGGATCCTGCACAGCTCAACGTGTTTCGGTGCAGGTGAAGCAGCTGTGGGTTTCAGCAGCCCACAGCCAACCACACCTGTGGTTTCCCAGCCGCTTTCCCATCGAAAGACAAAGCCACTATTCACCTCCTCTTAGCACCACTGTTATCACCCACGGTGCTTCTCCTTGTTCAAAGTCTGATTTTGTTTGTAATAGGACCAAAGTTTCAGGCATTTTGCAAGCACACACTGGGCATTTATTGCCCTTCAGTTACAACGGCTCAGGTTACAGAACCAAAGAAAGCTGCAACAAAAACCAGAATCTGCTGCTCCACTGCAGTCACTCTGCAACCCGACAGAAACTGCACCCAGGAGATGCTCGTCACATCTGCTTATTAAGAAACCTCCCTTCCACAGCCTCTCCTGGGAGTCTCCTCCAGTCCTTCACTCCTCATGCATTTAGAAAGATTTTTCTAACAGGTAGCTCCAATCACCTTGAGCGCAATTTAGGCAAATTGCTCCTTCTGCTCCCAGAGGGCACATATAATGGCACAGCACCCCCACACCCCACTTCAAATATGTGAGGGGCTGTTACAAAAAAGAGCTACCAGGATGGAGAAGTTGCTTCTCGTTTGGGGACCTCTCCCCTCACTGCTAAAAACCTCTCGGGTACGGTACCCCAAACTAGGCCCTGCAGAGGAAGCCCACCTCAGCTCTACCCAGCTTACACCACCCTTGTTTGTACAGCCCAGCTTGTGCAACGCTGCGGCTCAGCTGACTCATGGCCCGGTCGTGGATCAAACTCTTCTCTGCAGAGCTGCTGCCTCTCCAATCCTTGCCCACTTTCCACTTGCACACCTGATGACTCTTATCAAAGCCTAATATTCTGCTTTTGTCCTAACTGAACCACATCCAAGGTTACTTAGCACTCTTTTGCCAGCTGGTCACATCCTCCAAGCACAGTGCCATCACAAGGAGACCCATTTCACGATGCTGGGTGAAGTTTAACTGACAAATCTGCAAAAACCAGTGAATTCTGTGAGACTGTTTAAAGACTCTGCAAACACCCATTAAATGTCTCATCCTAATTTTATCTCGAAGCTCTCATTATGCTCAAACAAAATAACGAAAACACTTTGTATGCCTTTCAGGGGATTTCCAGCAGCCCTAGGCTTCTCATCAGAAAATCAGCTTGAAAGCTTCAGAGTCAAGATACACAGATCTACTACTACAGAAGTACCTTCAAGATTCAGAAGCAAATTAGGTTGGCTTGGCACAATTTGCTCCTGAAAAATCCACATTAACTGTTATTCATCTCTTCTGTTACCTTAAAGGTTCTTACGAATTGTTTGCTTCGAAGCATCCAATTGCTCCACAAAGCAAACGAACCAATTAAAAATAAATAAAGCGCATTAGTGCTAAGGGTGTCAATGACTTGCCAAGCAACACACAGCAGGTATAGCCCTTCCCCAAAACATTCATGAGAAGGCACAATGCAGGTTTACACAGCTGAAAACCAGAGAAACAACAACAGCAACAACAACGGAAAAATGGAAAAAGACGAACGACCGCTCAGAAGGAGAGAGAGGAGAGTAAATGGAAACAAACTAAAGCTGCACAGAAAATTCACGCTGCTCTGATAAGTGTAAGAAATAAATGGAAGCAAGCCAGGAAAAGAAAGAAACCCCTTTTTTGGTAAACAAGTTGAAAGTGTAACTCTGATAGCAGCCCTGCATTTTAGCTGTCTGACTACTCTACGAATCGCATTCTCCCTCAGCATGTATTTTTTATTTATCCCTCAGCATGTTTATTTATATTTAGGTGACATCTGCTTTACTGCAACAGTCCTCATCATTTAAAAGGTAACTTCCTAATTCCCCACTTTTCAGAGGATTTTTTTTATGGGGGGTTGGAGAAGGAAGCTTTGGTCACAAGACCAGAGCACTAAGATTACTGTTCCTGAGGTTTGTTCCCCGCTTTCCCAAAAATCAAGACTACTGAAATCTCAGCAGTAAAAGAGAAACATCCCTAGCAATGCTGGTTGTGACCTGAAGACCTCGGTGTCAAGCGATCTGCTCTCAGAACGCTCTTCAGAGCTGCAGTTCACTGAGGGGTCTCCTCGACTGCAAAAGCAAACCCCAAATTTCAGGCCCCATCAGCTGGTTCTTCCCAACATGGTGCTGCAGCAACCCGGCCAACTTCTCCAAAGCTCAACTGAGAAGCTTTACGCACTTTCCTTTAAGCCCACAGAAAAACAGTTCCTACCTAAACTTGTTAAAACCTCCAGGACTTAAAAGTGTAAGCACTGACACTTTAATTAGCTACACCAAGAATTCCTTGATTTCTCCACCAGAATGTTACAGAGCATTAAGCCTTCTAGATGTTTCCGCCAGTTTCCTTCTTTCAATAGACAACGGCTCTTGCAAACCCACCCAACAAAAGACATCTCAAGGACTCCAACATTTCAAAAAATAACCCCATTTGAGCCTCAGTTTATTCCATTACAGAACAGTTGAACCTGAGGGACTACAGGGGTAAAATTTACCTTGTGCCTTTGACAGCTTTGATCTCAAAGAGTAAAACATCTCAGGACTTTTCAAAGTATACAAATAATATGTATTTGTATCACAGCAGCATCCAGGGGCCCCAAGCCTGTTTTGCCGCTCGCTGCACTACACAGACGCATGTACTGTTCAGAAGACCTTACACAGCTCAGAATAGGTATCTGAGTTTTTATCGTCTGGACAGCAAGAGCTGACTTGCCAGCCAAAGAGCACAGAAAGGAGTTCACTAAACAGCTCTGGGAAATACTGGCTTTAGCCTCAGCATGATGGAAGACAGCAGAGAGGAAACACCCTTTTCCAGCAATCTTCAGTACCTCCAAGTTGAGACTCCTAGCAGCAAACACCAAGAAGCATTACACCGCAGCACGTCTTCACCAGAAGCCAAGACAATTTTCATCTCATCCCCTTCATCTCTTATTTGGTTTCAGCCTGTCAGACTTAGTGGCCCCAGTGGATAAGCAGGCGTTGTCAACACACAATACACTCGACGCCTTCAGTTGTACAACTGAACTAAAATATTAAATTGAAAAACTAAGGAAGGAGCAAACACCAAAATACTGACCAGCTCCTACAGCAGGGCTCACATCTGACAAGTCACTAGTATTTGTCCAGAAGAAGCTGCTTTCTGGTGCTGATGGCAATATGGCCTAGCTTTCCTCTAACAAAAGAGCAGATCCATGTGACTGTAGCCACTATATCTAGGCAAACTACTAACATCCACAATATCAGCTTGTGGAAAGAAAAGAACATACTCCACTTACAAGACTACAGCTTATGAGAGCATCAGTGCAAGCACTGACTCTATTTTCCAGTATCTTGGAACGGCTTTAGAATGGCTCATGTCATCATTTTACCTAATGGCAATGGCCACCTACCCTTTCAAGCTGAGTATTAATTCCATTTTGCACATGCAAAAAATAAAAAAGTTGGATATATTCAATTCTGTCTTTGGTTTGTACAATTCACCAATTACACCAAGATGAATTGAGGCATGCATCTCAAAAAACGGTGGCAGATGTTTACCCAGGTGAGACAAGGGATTCTGCTACTGGACAAGCATTTTGTCACCTAAATACCACAGCAGCTACAGATTTCTACCAGAAATCTCAGCTCAGAGCTGGCCATCCTACAAGTGTACTGCATGTATGCTTTTTGCCAGTGCCTAAACATAGTTGTCAGTCAATAAAATGTATTTCAGCCCTCAGAGACCATGAAAGACGTCCTTCGCTATTGATCAGAAATTCCCCCACGCCTTCTATTGAGTGGGCCTGGAGAAAAGCCAAAATTCTGTCTGCTCTACATCCCTTCAGCTGTTTAGCTTCTGACTGGGCAGTACAAATGCACATTAACGCACACATAGTCAGAGATCTAGCATTCTTTTTTCTCCCAACTACATATACACCCTTTTCCTCCTCTTTTATATGTTTTGAAGTTGAGGGGAAGAAACAATGACTTAGTAGGATGTTTACAGCTGCTTTCTTCCTACTTCAAATGAAACTTCAACCCTTTGTGCTGTCTACAAACTCCTTCCTTCTTTTTTCTTTTGACTTTACCTCTCTTTTCGTGCTTCTTACCTCCAGTTGCTACATTCCTCACCGCCAAGTGCACAGGTCCTTCCATTAGATGCTACTTCAGGTGGTTTTAAGTCCTACTGGAAAACCTCACAGCCCCACAACACACTCTCCAATGTCTGACGTCACAGTACCACAGAACCATGGAATGCTTTGGGGTCTGTCTCCACTTAATTCAGACACCTTCAGTGATCTGTTCCCCTTCTCAGCGCCACCTCCCTATTAAGAGATGGCTCAATATTAAGTCAATATTGACTACTTCTCCCCTTCC